GGATCCTAAGACTCCAAGCTGAGAACTGTAGCACTGACTGTAGCCAAGGTCCAAGGAGCCTGTGGAGCACGACTTTCGATTCTTCAGTTGGTTTTCTGTCTTATCAGAAAAGTGTTCCTTGATAATCTTTTTTAGGTGGGTTTTAGAGAGAACTAGAACTGTGTAGCACTGGCTTCCACCTGACCTCCTGCCTCAGCCTCCTTACTGCTGGGATTATAGGTGTGTGTCACCAACCTTGGCTTAACTATTGTGTTTAAAGTCAAAACTTCCTCACATGCATGAGTACATTCCCAGATAAATCAGTTTTTCCGTTTTCCCTTTTGTACTGTTTGTTGCGTTTGTATCATCATTTTCTTACACCTTTATTTCTTGTGATATGAGTACCATAAGGGCAAAGCTGATTTCACTATTTGCTGGTTCAGCTTGACACTCAATAGGTATTACATCACTAACAAGACAAGGAAAATCGTTACGGTTATTTCTAATGTTAGGGTTAGGGGGATTGGTGGGTTTTCCTTGTTGGTTCAGTTACAAGATCTGACATGTCGCCCAGGCTCACCTACAGCTGGTCATCTTCCAGGGGTCACAGACTTGCTGCCATGCCTGGCTTCTTCTTGTGTGAGGTTTTAAGGTTGCCTTGTCACGATTTCTCTGTGTTCCGAGAGAGTTGAAGGGATTAACATAGAATATATCCTTGGTGGCCTTTCTAATTTTTCCTGTGGTTGGAACACTGACTGTGGGATTAACATAGAATATATCCTTGGTGGCCTTTCTAATTTTTCCTGTGGTTGGTTGTTCATTTTTCTTTTGAATCTTCAAAAAAATGTTTTCTTAGGGACTGGAGAGATGGCTCAGCAGATAAGAACACTGACTGTTCTTGCAGAAGACCCGGGTTCAAATCCCAGCACCCACGTGGCAGCTAACAACTGTCCATAACTCCAGTTCCAGGGGATCCGACGGCCTGTTCTGTCCTCTGCAGTCATTGCACAACATGGGTGCACTTACCTACATGCAGGCAATACACACATACACATAAAATAAAAATAATAAAAAAATTTTTTAAGTTTCCTTAGAAGAATACCTGCTTTCAACTTTCACATTATCTACCAGAGGTTTATGTGGCAACTCAATTTTAAAAGTACTTTTAAAAGTCTCTTCAGATACTCCTTTCTTGGCTTCAACGGCTGTTTTGAACTGGGTTCTCACTGTTTGTCCAGGTGAACCCTAAACTCTGACCTCAAGTGACCTCCTGCCTCAGCCTCCCAGAGCACTTGGGACTGCTGTGCGTGCTACTTCACTGCCAGCAGATTCTCCTTTTCCCCTGGTGGCTTTCTGTTTTAACCCTCTGTTAGATTTGTCTGATACTTGTTTTCTTTCATTTGAGTTTCTAAAAAGCCCTAAGAGGCCATTGTGTGAAGTTGTGAAGGTCAAGCTTCGTTGGCAACGGAGACTCCAAGATGTTGGAGATGCCAGAGCCATGAGACACCTGCCCAGGAGAACCGGCAGAGGGCACGGCACCAGCCCCAAAGAGAGAACATAACGCAGGCAGCGTAGCTGTGAGACAGTCCTCTCAGTCCTTCAGAACCAAAGTCACAGACACTGGGCATGGAGCTGCGGGAGTTGGTGTTTGCCTGCTGGTTTTCAGTCCTGTTTTGTTCCAGTATTTCCTCACTGTGCCCCTTTTCCTCCCTCATGGAATGGGAATGTGTACTGTGTGCCATTATAAGTTGCAAGTATTTGGTTTGCATTTTTACTTTACGTGGGATTACTATTAAGAGAGCTCTTTGAGTCTCAGAACAGAATTTGGGTGGTTTAAGAGTGTTGAGACAGTTAAAGACCATAGGGATTTTAAAAATGGAAATAAATGCATTTTGCATTATGATATGGTCATGAGTCTATGAGGCCCAGGGGTAGAAGGTGGTGGTTTGAATATTTCCCATATTATCCAAGTATTTGAACACTTGGTCCCCAGTTGGTGGTGCTCTTTTGGGAGCTTTAGGAGGTATGAGCTTACTGGTAGAAGCAGGTCACTTGGGGCAGGTCTGAGAGTTTGTAGCCTTGTCCCGTTTCCAGTTTAACTCTCTGCTTCCTGTGCCCTCTTGAAGAGGTGAGCTCTCAGTTTTCTGCTCCAGCCATCTCTGCTGCCATGCCTTCCTGCCATGATGGCTCTTATTCCCCAGGACTGTAGGCCAAATAAACTCCTGCTTCTATAAAAAAAATTAAAAAATAAAGAATAATGAGGTCCCATTTGTTGATTCTTGACCTTGTTTCCTGGGAAGTCGATGTCCAGTTTAGAAAATCTTTTCCTACACCTATATCTTGTAGGTTATTGCCAATGTTTTCTTCTAACTGTTTCAAAGCTTCAGGCTTTACCAGTACCATATTGTTTTTATGGCTATAGCTCTGTAATATAGTTTCAAATCTGGTATAGTATTCCCCCCAGCATTGCTCTTTGTGCTCGGAGTTGCTTTGGCTATCCAAGGTCTTTTGTGCTTCCATATGAATCTTAGGATGATTTTTTCCAATTCTGTGAAAAACGTCATGGGGATTTTGATTGGCATTGCATTGAATCTATAAATGGCTTTTGGTAGGATGGTCATTTTCACAATATGCTTCAATCCATGAGCATGGGAGGTCCTTCCAACTTCTGGTGTCTTCCTCAACCTCTTTCTTTAATGATTTAAAATTTTCATTGTAGAGCTCTTTAATGTCTTTGGTCAGGTTTATTCCTAGTGAGCACATGAGCTGTGACTTCTTCCTCACAATGATTCACTATTATTAAAGTTAGAATCAGGGCTGGGGAGATGACTCAGTGTTTAAGAGCAGTGACTGTTCTTGCAGAGGTCTGGGGTTTGGTTCCCAGGACCTACACAGCAGCTAACAACCATGTATAATTCCAGTTCCAGGGAATCTAACACCCTCTTCTCTCCTCTGCTGGCATTGCACACATGGGTGCACATACACACATGCAGGCAAAGCACTCATACGCAACATAAAAACATGTAAAAAAAATGTCAGGATTCAGAGCTACAGAGGCTGTCTCCATCAGACAACATCTGCCTTAAAATGCCTTCTCATTGTAGAAGAGGGAAAGTGGATGTAAATGGTTTTTTGAAGGTCATTGATTGAAATAGTTTGAGAATTAGTTCCTTTTTTTTTTTTAGACTTACCAAGAACCTTTGTGATACCAAATCACTAGAATTTCATCAAAGAAACCTCATCTTTTTAAAGGTGCTAGTCTCCTCTAGATCACACATGTGCCCATTACGGTATCTTGATTTCCCTCCTGAGGACTAGCTTGTACTTCCTCATGTGCAGCTAGGCCAAAAAGAATCACTGTTACTAACTTTTTAAAACATCTCTATTGCAGTATGTTTTCCTCATTTTAAGTTATGTTCGGTGTGTTATGAAGTGGTGCGGCCATCACATCAGTACCTCAGTACCCTCTTGTCGAGCTTCTCTCACTGTAATGTGATGTTAAGATTAACCGTGAGGTCATAGATCCACAGTTTGTTTCTTTTTGATGCTGGAAGATAATAGTGTATGAATGTACTGTGTTGTTGGTTTTTAATGTGTGTGTGTGAGTGTTGTATATATAAATGCGTGTAAATGTGTATGAGTATGACCACACTATGCATGTGCCCATGGAGGCCAGAGGTTGATATCTCTCTCCATCTGATTTTTTAAGGATTTATTTATTTTATGTATGTGAGTGTACTTGAATGCAAGTATGTGCACCTTGTACATACAAGCACTTGCAAGGCACCATGTGGGTGCTGGAAATCAAACAGGTCCTCTGGAAGAGCAGCAGATCATTTTAACCACAGAGCCTCCTGCCTTCTGTGTTATTTTTTGAAATAGGATTTCTCACTGAACATGAAGCCCACCGATTGGCTACCATGGATGGCTAGTGATCCCCCAGGGATCCTCCTGTCTTCTGCCTCTCAGTGCTAGGATTACAGGCATGGTGCCTGTTTTGGTTTGGGTTTTGTTTTTTTCAATGTTTTATTTTTTTATTTTTATTTTATGTGTATGAGTGTTTTACCTGTATATAGGTAAGTCCACCCATGTCATGCTATGCCCACGGAGGTCAGAAGAGGCTGTCAGATCCCCTGGGACTGGAGTTACAGACAGTTGTTAGCTGCCATGTGGGTGCTGGGAACCAAACCCAGGTCCTCTGCAAGAGCAGCCAGTGCTCTTTACTGCTGAGCTGTCTGTCCAGCCCCTGGTTTTCGTTTTTTTAGACAGAGTCTCCTTGTATCTCCAGCTGGCCTGGAACTCACTGTGTAGACCAGGGCGGCTTTCATATCACAGAGATCCACCTGCCTCTGCCTCTTGAGTGCTGGAATTAAAGGTGTACATCCCCATACCCAGCTTTTCTTTTTTTTTAGCATAGACAATAGGGATCAAGGTCAAAACAAAATGCCATGCTTTCAGCAAGCACTCTGACCCACTGACCTGTTTTCCCACCCCCTGTGGTTTCTCATAAGTATACAATTTATTTTGGAAACAGTTTTTATCAACAAATAGATTTACATATTAGACTTTAAGACTATTATTATGACTTTTTGTTGACCTGGCATTATATTTCATGTTCCATAGAAATTTAAATGAATGTATTGATGGCTTTTTAAATATAGCTGCAAATTCATGCTTTTAAAACAGTTACTCAGGGGCTAGAGATAGTAGCTCAATTCTTAGTGTTTGTATAGCATGCACCAAGCTCTGGGTTTTATCATAATACCCCATACATCAGGTACATACCTGTGCTCCCAACACAAGAGGATCAGACATTCAAGGTCATCCTTAGCTGCATGGCGAATGAGGCCAGCTTGGGATACATGAGACCCTGTCACCAGAAAAAGAAAAGTTGTACAGTTTTATTTTTAGCCCTCCCATATTAGAGTATTTACCATCCGGCACTTCATAGTCCTTTTCATTTGATGCCAGTATACTAATAGTTGATTATTATACATTTATAGAATATACATCTTTGAACCATGCAAGCCACTGTGATGGTAGAAACAGACCCTGGTAAAAGCTACCACAGAAATGGAAGAAACCTTCAAAAAGGTAAGGGGTCCAGACCACTTGGAGAAGGTGCCACGTGTAAGGGCACCACACAGTTCTCCCTTCAGTGATTCTTAAACCTTTCTCCCAACGAGGTGGTACAGCTCCACATGTTTTTAACTTTGCAAATTCCATCAGTAGTAAGGAAGGTGAAAGATACAGATCTCAGAAGTCTGGAGAAGAAAGGACTGATCTATTTAATTAATCTGTTATAACTTTAATATGACAAGACAGAAAAAAGGTCTTTAAAAAGCAATAAATTAATTAACCTGCTTATATTACAGCTATAAAATCAAATAATCAGTGGCCTCGAGAGACAAAAATGACCCTATACAAATCTTTTAAGGTTCAGCCCCATATGTGTTACAGCTTACATCTGGGTTTTTTACCAGTAACTTCAGACTCCCTTTGCCTGATCTGAGCTCTTTATTTTCTTCCCCTGACCCCATAACTTTTTCTCTCCTACCTTCTACCCTGCTCCTCATTAAGATCCTTACCTACTTAGTTCTGAACATTTCCATTCAACTCAAGTTTCAAGTTGTAAATCTTAGAATGGTACTTAAGCAGACATTAGTTAATCATGACATCAGGTAAGCTAATTGTGCTTTTTTATAAAATGAAATAGAAAATTCCAGAATACATTGGACATAAAGTCATTACTCTTTTCTAAGATTCTGGGCTGGAGAAATTGCTTAGTGCTTAAGAACACTGGCTGTTCTTGCAGAAGACCTGGGTTTGAATCCCAACACCCACATGGCAGCTAACAACTGTCTGTAACTCCAGTTCAGGGGATCCGACGGCCTCTTCTGTCCAAGGCTGAGGAAGTGCACGACACGGGTGCCCTAACCTACATTGCAGGCCTAGCACTCATACATTTAAAAGTAAATAAGGTTAAGTAAATAAACAAGATAAATTTTTAAAAATTGCGTTTGGCCTCATTGCACAGTTAGGGGTGTGTGTCATGTGGTGGAGCTTCTGTATTAGCATCCTCTCTGCATCTTGGTCAGCCTGGCTTCCCTTTCTAAGCTTCATTCTTATGTTGCCATAGCTTCCTCCAGCTCAGTTCCAGTCACATGACTACCTCTAAGAGCCTTTCAATGGCCTTCCATCCTTAGAATAAGAGCCAAACTCCTAGCACCTTATGAGAGGCCCCTACCCATTCACATGCTGTCATTCTAGAGCTCGTCACTCCAATCAAGCTGTCTCAGTTTCCTCAGAAGGCCATGTCCCTTCTCATACATTTGCTGTTGGAGTTACCTAAGAAGATCTTGTCTGTTTTATTTGAAAACACTTGATAAATATCAAGTGTTCCCCTCAAAACCTGTGTTTCCTTTCTCCTCGAATTTTCCTGATCTATTAGCACAACTGTCAGAACTTTTCTTTCACTGTGATAGGTTTTCTCTGTCCTTATCTATAACCCTTATGAAAGCCATAGGTTTGTGGGAACAGCACTGGGTCTTAGCCTTCCTGGTTTATGCTGACACCAGTGGCACTCCAAAGTGTATTAAATAACATTATAAGAAAAAAGTTTATTTTAGACCTGTCCACAAAGTGACTGCTCTGTAAATAAAAGGCCCTTACCATGGTCAGAATTGAAGAAGAATCTTGCCCCTTGGGTCATCCTTGCTACAACAAAACATCATCAATTAAGTGGTTTCAACAGCCACAGATGATTTTCTCATAGTTCTAGGACTGAAGTGAGGTCCAGGTGCAGGGTGGTGAGGTGTGAGGTCCAGGTGCAGGGTGGCCAGGTTCTCATCGGGCACCTCTTCCTGGCTGGTAAATGGTTCTTACTATGTCATCATATGATGTGTGTCCTGACATGAGAAAAAAAGAAGCAAGCTCTCTCTGATGTCTTTTAAAGGCAACTAATCCTATTAAGAGGGTCCTACTCTCATGGCCCCATCTAAACCTGATTATCTCCAAAGGTCCACCTTTAACAGCCATCACACTGGGGCTCGGACTTTGACATAGTTGATTAGGAGACAGAGTTCAGTTTGGTTTAGCTATTGTAAGGAATTTTTGTATTTGTAAATAAAGTGAAAAAGAAAGTATTCCAGCATTGGAAGGGACTTAGACAAGAGTGTGTCTAGAGTTTTTTTTCTAGTGTTTAATTTATGTAATGTTAACGTTTTCTTTTTTTTTAATTAGATAAACCATCTAATCCTAAGAAAGACAATTTTTTATCTTCAAGTGGTTGTAACGAAGTCAAATTGACTTTTCCTGACGATGAATGGGACTCCTTGGCTCTAGGGCCAAGAACTAATGACGACAAAATCAACAGTGTTGACAAGACAGATTTAATGGAGCCATCTTTTTCAGTAAATCAAGATACTAACACAGAGAGTGCTTTCTCTCAGTCCAGTGAGTTTGAAGACGGTATTGACTGTGCCTTTTTGAATGAAACGTACTCCATACATTATTCAGAGTCAAAACTTAAGAATGAAAATCTTACTCGTTTATGTTCAGAATTACATCCTAACATGCACAAAAGTGAGGAGGTGTTTTTTAATATTTTAGAACCTCAAGGTCATAATGGCATTGGATTCGAAATAACTCACAAGAGTTTCGACACCGACTACGAGGAAGCTGCTGAAGATGTGCAGAAGAACGACACGGACGACTCCCAGCAGGAGTATCACAGCGCACAGCAGGAGTATCACAGCGCACAGCAGGAGCATCACAGCGCACAGCAGGAGCATCACAGCGAACAGCAGGAGCATCCCAGCAAACAGCAGGAGCATCACAGCGCACAGCAGGAGCATCACAGCACACAGCAGGAGCACATAAGCAACTACTTATCTTTTGACCAAGCAAAAGCATTAAGCATATCTAATCTGTATGCTGATGAATTGGAAATTTCAGGTTATGAAGTTAAATGTGTTAGCGATTTAGAAGATAGCCATGCTAAGTTAGAAAGCGGTCCTGTTACCTCTTTGGACTCACTTAATGGTTTTGCACAAGATTGTCCACCTGGTGCTTTTAAATTTCAGGATTCTGACATGTTAAAAGAACATCATGGACCAAAGCATGGAAAGGGTAAACAGCAAGAGCTCAGTCTGCCATGCCATGCAGCACTTGATGACTTTGTACAAAGAAGGACTTCTCTCTTACATCCTCAGAAACCACTAAACACCAAAATCTATGCTGAAGAAAAGAGCTCTCAAACAACTGAAAGTAAAGGTTTTTGTGGAGATGGAATTGTTAAGAACAGATCATTACAGCACCTTGAAAGTCCTGGCACATTACCCCAGGCTGATAAAGATTACCAGACTTGCGGGTCCTCTATCTTTGATGACTCGGTCATTTCTCTCTGTGGCTCTTCACAATATAAAAGCCTTCAAAGCACCCCTAACCCAGCCTTTGGTTTTTCTCCTATGCTACCAAGGATTGCCATCACAGACAAGCAGGCAGGAGTAGAGGACAGCTCCCCGCAGCTCCTAAAAAGCAGTGCCATAGGTAAAACATGTTCTCATGCTTTGAAAGAAACGTGTCTTCAGTCGTTGCCGGATGCAGCAAGTTGCACAGTCACAGTTAACCAGATGCTGGATGTGAGTGCTGATCTTGGGGCTTCTTACACAGCCAGCAGGGCAACAAGTGCAAGGTCTTCTGTGATGTCCTTACCAAGCAACACGGAAAGAATGAGGGTCAGTAAAAACCGACCTGATGACTGGCAATGTGAAAGGCGAAGTGTGGCTTGTAGTACAGATTGGTCATGCAATCGTGACTGTGCAGATGTGCGGATGGCTATACCAAAAGGACTGGGACGCTCTCTCTCAGCTGACTGCTTAAAGCCTAATGGAAATCCCCTAAATGAGGTAAAATCATTAAGACAGGCGAATGCTGCTTGGGCTCACTGTACTGAGGGCTTCCAGAAGAGTGCTGGGTGAAGGGAGGGGTATGTAGATTGGCCACAGGCTGTCCTCTGCTGGCAGATACTGCTGCAAAGTTATTTCAAAGTTTGGTTTTACATTTTACCATTTTGGAACTCCAGATACAACATGCATTGTTCGTCATATAGTTATAATTTCATTTTGCATTGTTTTCAGACATTCTTGGAATTGAGAAAAACATCTGCTACCACAGATGTAAAGAAATACCCTGAGAGGTATGTCAGACACAGAAGCCTGGGAAGATGTGTGGAAAACTCACATGGTATTTATTTTCTGTGTGTATTTAACCAAGGAGATTTGAATGGATTGTAGGAAATTTTATAATTTACCCACTTTCTAGTAAACAGGTATTAAAACTACATATGTTAAAGCTCTTTTTATGAAGAGCTTGTAGTCTCAGCACTTCCTTCAGACATGATGGCATCTTGTATTTTCTTGTTCAAACCAAATCCATACCGATCTTTTTTGTTTTCTTTCTTTTGAACCACCCATAGATTAAAACAAAATAGCACCTTTGGAAAATGTCATATATTTGAGAAATAAATAACATGTACTGAAGTATTCTGATCTTAACTGTAAGTCATCACTGGTTTCCCTTTGTACTTACTAATAACAACACAGAAGACATACTCAGGAAGTGAGAGTGAGGAGACAGGAAGCCAGCTGAGCCGTCGTGCTCTGGATCAAGTCCTTTTCCTCTGAGTTTAATCTGGTACCCCAAAGCCATAAGATTAAATTTAAAAGTTGATTTCCAAAGTAACCGTGGCTAGCAACTGGTATTTAGAAGAAGGGAGAAAAAACTTCAGTAACTGTTAACACTCAAAAACTGTAGTGACTTGGGCTTAAAAAAATTGTGTTGTATTAATGCTTGCCTGTTGCACATACGTAAGTGCATCAAGTGTACACCTGCTGCCATGGAAGTCAGAAAAGGGTGTCAGATCCCCTGGTACTAGAGTTATAGACAGTTGGGAGCCATCATGTGTTTGCTGAGAACTGAACCCAGACCCTGCGTAGTGCTTTTAACTGCTGAACCATCTCTCCAGCCCCTAAAATTTTTCTTTAATTACATTTATTTCTTATTTATTTATTTATTTAATTTATTTGGAGGTATGAGGGCATTTGGAAGTCAAAGGACAACTTGCAGGAGTCATTTCTCTCCTTACATCATGTGAATCCAGGAGACTGAACTCGGGTTGTTAGTCTTGGAGTCAAGGACCTTTACCCACTGAGCCATCTCTTTGACCAGATTTGAGGCTTCTTGAAATATCACAACACTATATTTATATTAATGACTCTTAATTACTAATAAAAACTGTGCCTGTTTTCTGTGATATATTTAATGACAATTTCAACTTTAAGTGCTTGTAACTGTTTAAAAAAAAAACCTTGACTGAGAAGATTGGGGAAAAACCTCACTGATTCGGAATAAATGAAGTTATGGCTTAGGTTGGGGGAAAAACCCATGAATTTGTAAGTTGCTTCCTTGACTCTTGATATCTGCTTTCCTGAAGAAGTTGTTAATGTGTCCCTAGGACATTGAATTGGAATAGGAATTAGGTATTGATTTAAACTTGACAGGAAACATAAGACACTAAACATCTGCTCTAGAAAGAAACATGTCATTATTGTAGAAAAATGTTGGACTCTTACCTAGTCCTGTCTTTTGTTTTACAGGGAATTTCAGCTTTGTGAGGAGATGGATTTGCCATCAAAGTGCTGTCAGAAAGCAAAAGAGAGAGCCGTAAAGGCAGAGATGCACCTTCTGAATGTTTGCTATCAGATGTGCCATCACCACTGTTGTGACATTTACAAACTCGTCATGGGAAACAGAGCAGGATTAAATAGGTGGTTATTAATTTTAAATATGTTTTATTTAAAATCTTTTTAGAGTTTATGTGTATGAGTGTTTTGCCTACATGTATGTAAGTGTACCACATGTGTGCAATGCCCATGGAGGCCAGAAGAAGGCACTGGATTCCCTAGAACTAGAGTTACAGGTGGTTATGAACCACCATGTGGGTGCTGGAAGCCAAACTTGAGTCCTCTGCAAGAGCAACCAGTACTCTTAACTGCTGAGCCATTTCTCCAGCCTCATAATTTTAAATCTGATTTCCTAGAACTATATCTTAATAGGTTTATTCTGGACAGCTCATTTCAATTTTTGAAGGACAAATGTGTGATATAACTTGGTTTATTAGTTTTCTTAAGGGTAATGAACTTTAAAAAGTAGTATATTTCCCAAGTGTGATGGCACACACTTATACTCCTAGCACTTGAAAAGATTACAGTGAGTTGGAAGCTAGACTAGTTTGTCTAGTAAGTTCCATGCCAGGAAGAGAGCCTGTCTCAAAAAATTAAAAACAAACTAATAAAAAAGCAGTTGAATGTCATGGTAGGACATGGTTGCAATAATGAATCTAGTAAAAGAAATAGCTGTGCTGTTTCTTTATAAAGTCCAAGTAAGGATAAAGTCAGTCAGGGACTTCTGCTGTCAGTCTTTCTGGCTTATCTATCAAGGGTTGCTTGTACTGCCCCTAGAAAAATGTATCTACAGTGTTTCATTTTCTTTTACTTAACTGATAAAATTAAAGATCTGGTAGCATTAGAAGTAAGTACATGAAATAACGGTAGTGTTCAATGGATGACTTGAGCCTAAATAATTTAGTTTTGTGAACTTAACTTGAACAGGAATTTGCCAAGTGATTTTGCTAAGAAGGAATTAGGATCAGCACTCCTGTCTGTCTGGGGAGACTTAAAAGTTAGATACATGAATTTGAAAGAAAAAATCCAGAAGGGCGTACCGCTGGAGGAGCTGCCCCCACTGTCAGTAGAGTCCAAGCTGTTATCTGCTTTCTCCACTTTTGCCTCCAAGGTGTGTATGTCTTCAGGGTAGGCCTTTGCTCCCCCCAGACAGAAAATGCATTAAGTGTTTTCTTTTCTGTTTCCAGCTGATAAAAGAAGAGTCACGTGAGTAAGTTACTATTTCATCTCATTTGGAACTTGTCCTAAACCTGCTTAATCCACATAATTAAAAATTTAACTTACTCGGAACACCGAAAATCTTTAATGAATTGTTTATCTGTTCAGCTTTTCAGGAGCGGATTCTGACCTAGATAATCAAAGTGTACCTGATGTTGATGTTTCTCTAAGCCTAAAAAAGACATTGTCACAAGTGAGAATTGGTGGGGGGATGATATTCCTGTGTGTTGTGTATGTTCAGGTGTGTAAGTATATGTGTGTGCATGCGTGTGGACGCTAGCGGTCAACCTTTGTGATATTCTTTAGGAGCCATACACTTTCTGTGTGCATGCTTTTTAATCATTGTCTGTATGTATGTGAGTGCAATCACACAGGCTTGTGCCAGGACTGGTGTGTGGAGGACAGAGGACAACCTCTGGTTTCAGTCCTCAACGTGTACCTTGAGACAGGGTGCCTGGCTCACCACTGCAAATGCCAGGCCATCTGGCCCACAGGCTTCTAGGAATTATGTTGTCAACACCTCCCAACCACCAGCCATAGGACAGCTGGGATTACAGATCTGCATTTTACGTCCGGCTTTTACGTGCGTTCTGGAGATTCAGCTGTCTCCAGTCCTGGGATTACAAGTATGTGCCACCGTGCTCAGCTTTTTATGTGGGGCTGACGATCAAACCCAGGTTCTTGTGCTTGTATGACAAGCATTTTGCCAGCTGAACTCTCTCTAGCTCCCAGAATGTTTTTTAAAGTTCATCAGTTTAAAATTTAGTTCCCTAGCCGCTAAGTGAACAGGGACTTTTCAGAAACCATCTCGCCCCTTCTCAGAAGTTCGCTTGCTTTCTTTGGGTACCTCCATTTGAAGAGTGTGGCTGAGCAGAAGGAACGTGGTGTATGTAGGCCGATTCTTGATCCAGCAGTTGTCATCAATTGTGGTGAGTAAGGAGACTAGACGGTGAAAGGAACAGTAACCAGTAATGTGCCCTGACATTAACTGGGACTGTCCCGGCATCACGATGCATTGCCAGCATCATCATGAGCCAGAAGGACCAGATCACTATCTAATTTTTTCATTTTGTGAGGTAAAGTAATATTTCACTCATTCTGACCAAAGAAAGATTTAATTCTTCCTTTATGAAATTTGTCTCACACTTTTCCCAATCTTTCTTATTCCCCTAAGGAAATATTTGTCATACAACAACCAAGAAAGGTGGCTTAATGTTATGAGAACACATTGCAAGCCAGATGTGGTGGCACATGTCTGTAATCTCAGCACTCGAGGCAGTGGCAGGAGGATCACCACAAGTTTAAGGCCAGCCGGGTCTACATAGTGAATGAGTGATCTGCACAGTGAGATCATAAGGAGTCAGTTTAATATTATATCTTTTTGGCAGAATAATAGTATTAGGCTCTCCCATATAGCTTCTGACCTATCTGGACTCTGATTCCCATGTGCTAATAAACCTATTTATTAGTTTTTATTTTATGTGATGAGTGATTTGCCTGCAGGTGTGTAAGTGTACAGGTGTTATGCAATGCCCGTGGAGGACAGAAGAAGGCATCAGATCCCCTGAAACCAGAGTTCCAGATGTTGGGAATGAATCCCAGGTCCTCAGCAAGAGCAGCCAGTGCTCTTAACCCCTGAGCCATCTCTCCAGCCCCAAAGCAAAAGTTTTATATAAGCAAATTTGTTGCCATTTTTAAAATCATTCAGCCATTGAACAACATACGTTGTTCTCCCTGTTGTAATGTAACAGTGAAATAGCCTATTCAGAACAGAATGTAAATACTAATTTTAAATACACAGGTAGTGCTGGGACCGCAGCTCTGGTAGAACACTTGCCTAGCTGCACAAGGCCCCAGTTCAGTCTCCAAACACTGCAGAAACAAAATCTGAATAATAAAAAATTACGGTAAGGGACTGGTGAGATGGCTCAGCAGTTAAGAGTACTGGCTCCTCTTGCAGAAGACCTGGGTTCAGTTCCCAGTACCCACATGGTGCTTAACAACCATCTGTAACTCCAGTTTCAAGAGCTCCGATGCCCTCTTTGGACCTCCACAGGCTTCACAGAAAATGGATGCACTTACATACATTCAGGCAATATACTCATACACATAAAATAAAAATACTAAAATATTTAAAAATAAAAATTAAAAGATACAAATACAATTTTTTATCATTTTTATTTAATGTGTATGACTGCCTGAATGTGTGTAAGTACACCCTGGTACTGGAGTTAAAGGTGGTTTGTAGCCGCCATGTGGGTGCTAGGAATAGATCTTAGGTCCTCTGCAAGAGCAGTCAGTGCTCTTAGCCCCTGAGCCATCTCTCCAGCCCCTGCAAAAATAATATTTTTAGTTTTAGTTTTGACTATAAAACAATACAAGATACTTTTTTGTATTTTTATTTATTTTGTGTGGGTTTATGTGTGTACCATGGTGCACATGTACAGGTCAAAGGACAATTTCTGGGAGTCAGTTCTCTCATCTACCTTGTAGGTTCTGGGGGTTAAGTTCAGGTTGATCTGGCTTTCTTGGTTTTGAGTTTGGTTTTGTTGTTGTTCTTGTTGTTTTGTTTGGGGTTTTTTGGTTCTGATTTTTTGTTTTTTTATAATACTGAAGACCAAAAACAGTCCCTCACCCATGATGCTAGGTGAACACTCTACCCATGAACTAAGTCTTAGCCCATAAATGGCTCTCCTTTTACAATTCAAGTGTAGAGAATAACTCACTGTTACAGGATTGTTTCTTTCCCACAAACAAAAGCTAGACATCAACATGTATAAAAGGTTAATATCTCAGAAATCAACTCAAATATGCATTTTGCCAAATAATAGTACTATGTGTACTCTGACTGTCTACAGAATTAGAATCCTAATTCTAACTGACATGAACCAAGAGTTGGGCTGGGTCTCCTCACTGAGTCAGCTCATGATTTGTTCTCATGGTCCTCGTTACTGACAGCGAAGAACACGGTGCACCACACCTGTCAGGCCTTATTTTTGTTGCTGTTTTTATTTAATCCCCAGATGACTGTTTTATCTGACAGCAGTCATCCTAAACAAGATAAATCACCCAAGAAAGATGGTTTAAGAAATGGTGACATCAACATTGATCAACTGAGGCTTGATGATAAACGTAAGTATACCAGTGTATTGTTTCAGACAGCACAGTGGCCGTGCCTTTAGTCCCAGCACTCATGAGGCAGAGGAGGTGGATCCCTGTGAGATCAAGGTCAGCATGATCTACACAGTGAGTTGCAGGCCAGCTGGCTACAAAAACTATTATTTTGTATAGCTACCAGAAAATAAATAATGTTTAAAATGTCCCTAGTATTCATTAGCTTTTCCTTAAAAGAGTATAATCACTCCAAAATGATTATCAGTTTTACTGAATTGAAGAACTGGAGCTCATTTACTAGTTTTTGTGGAAATATATAACTTTTCATCAGTAAAGATTAATTTAGGAATGAGAAGATGAGGCTCTTTGTAAGTTGGAATCCAGGTTAATTAAAAGAACACTAGGGAGCTGATCATTCAGACTAAAGAGAGCTTTATTCAGTGACTACTGAGACCTTGGCACCTCATGCTGACCACTGGTTCTGCCAATGCTTATCTTTAGGCTCATGCACAGGACAGTGGTCACTGCTCACTCATTGACTTGTGTTTCTGAGAGTTAAACATGCACAGTTCATGATTTACTGCACTCAATATCTTAGGCAGAAACTGCTCTGAAATAAGTGAAGAATGGTTTGATGCAAAAGAGAAGCTGATGGGAGCCGACGTCTCAGGAATACAAGATAGTCTCCTGGAGCAGAGCAGGTGGAGTCCAAAGTTCCCATTAGGTTGGTTCTAAGAACATACAGAGAAACCCCAGCCCAGCTTACTGGAAAATGGTGCTTTTGTATTTTGGGGAAGACAAACCATTAAAATATTTTATTCCTGATTGTGCCTGTTCCTTATAAATATTTGAAAAGTGAACAAATGGGCCAGTTAGAAGTGATTTTATTTTTAAAGAGCAAGGCAGTATTAAATGTTCATTCCTCTTTAAGAAAACTGCTTAAAGCTTAAATCCAGGATTTACTCAGCAGATGGGTGCTAGGCACAGTGTTCTTCCTTCCAGCTCAAGGTCAGCATCAGTACTCCTTCGTGGCATCCTTTTATCCTGCCCGCCCCCCCCAGCAGGCTCTGTCCCTCGGAGGGTGCCTGGCAATACCAGCAGGCTTCTTGTTGCCATTACGCAGCCGTGCTACTCTATCAAACTACTGTTAAGAGTTGAAAACCCAAACCAGCCATGATGGTCCATGCCCTTAATCCAGCACTCAGGAGGCAGAGGCAGGTGGATTTCTTTGAGTTTGAGGCCAGCCTGTTCTAAAAAAAATTTTTAAAGAGTTGAAAACTAGGGCTTGAGAAGTGGCTCAGCAGTAGAGAGCTCTCACTTTCTCTCTCCTTTACTGTTGTTTTTTAACTTCAAAAAAATAACTAAAAGCATAACAAATCAGGGGCTTCACTTTGACATTTCACATGCATGTCATTGTAATTGTTCATGTTCAGCAAACCCCCCTCATTACCTATCCTCCCACTGGTCACCTTCCTTCCCTGAACAGTCCTCCTGCCTTCACAGAATCTGTAGACAGATTCTGCATATGAGGAAACATGCTGTTTGTTTCCTGTCGTTTCCAGCATTTATGCTACTTTATTTTTCCAATTTTTGTGAATTTTTATTTTCCATTATAGCAATGGTTTATTCTAATTTTTGAACATGTAGAAATAATGCTCATTAAGATCTTAAATAAAATATAAAAGTATGAGAAAATTAAAATTGCTAGATAACCACTGGGCATATTATTCAGTGACTTTCCTTTATTTCTTTATGCATATGTGTGATGTATGTGTGCAATCAAAATAACATTTTGTCATCTAATTTTATTGTCTTTCTTTTCTTTCCTCTCCATGTAATCCATCACATATTGTATGTTTTGCTTACTTGGTTTGTATTGACTGCCTTCACACCTTCACTAGCTAGGTGAGCTCAGATTTGTGTGGGTTTTGTTCACTGCCTGTCTCCAGTGCCAGACACACTGCTCACCCACATGGTCTGTGGTAGATGTTTTTTACTGGACTTGTAAAACGTGAGGTGGTGTGTGAACCCCGTCTTCTCTTCACTGCTGTTCTGCTGTACTCCAGCTCCATTCCATGTCAAGATCTAAACTAGAGGACTGGAGAGATGGCTCAGCAGTTAACAGCATGGGCTGCTTTTGCAGAGGACCCAGGTTTGATTCCCAGTACCTACATGGTGGCTAACAACCATCTGTAACTCCATTTCCAGGGAATCCAATGCCCTTTTCTGACCGCCATGGGCATTGCATGACACGGGTGCACTTACATACATACAGGCAATACACGTAAAATTAAAATAATATATTTTTTTGATCTAACCTATAAAGAAAGCTTCCTTGTGTCCTCATTAAGGCATCTTTTTACCAAGCAGATTAACAGATTGAATAAATTAATGAAGAAGGTTAGGTATTATTTGCCTAGCAATGGGGGACTGTGAATCCAACACTACCTCTTGACAGATTAATGAGAAAAGCTGGGAAGGCCTCCACATCCTCATCTACAAAATGGAAATAACAATTGCAGCCTCATATAATTTTCATGGGCATTACGTGAGGAGAGGGTACTACTATGATTAATGAAAAACAGAATTGCAGACCTGTAGTATAAACACTAGAATGCACAAAAGTAAGGACTCATTAAATATTGATGTACCTGCTCTGTGCCAGGCATAGAATTTGATAGTAATCTAAATCAGAGTTTAGTGAATGTGAATCTTTTTCATTTTGAATCTGATTTTTTTTTCACAATAGAGACCACTAAGAGCCTAAAGAATTTTAAATATTTTTATCAAACAAAAATCTATAATCCTAGCTTTGTGATATTTAAAATCAAGTTATTTGGAAAGGTGATGCTTAAATGATTTTTTTTTTTTTTTTTTTTTTTTTTTTTTTTGAGACAGGTTCTCCCTGTATCTCCAGCTGGCCTAGAACTTGCTATGTAGACCAGGCTGACCTCGATCTCATAGAGATCCACATGCCTCTGCCTCCCGAGTGCTGGGATTAAGAGTGTGCAGCACCGCGCCTGGCTGTCCTTTTGTCTTGAGTGTGTTCTTCTCATTATCACAGGGTGCACACCTACCCTTTACTAATCCAAGGTTCTTGTGCTCTCCTGTCCCCCAGCAACGCCATGAGTTTTCAGAGCACTAGCCCTAGCCAGCGGTGTGACTACGGAGTTCAAATCCTGTGCACACCTGAGCTCTGGGTAGTACTTGTCTGAATCAGAGATACTTAACTTTTTCTTAGTTACAATGCAGTTGATATACTTTGAGTTCCAAGAGACTTCACATTGACTGACTGAGCGAGCCTCTTTGAGATGATATGAATAATGTAGAGAAATCTTAGAATTAATATTCCAGGCTCTTGTAGTCAATCTAGTGAAGCTTTGTTTTTTTTTTTTTTTGGCCTTTGGGTTTTTTGTTAGGTATTTTGGTTTGGTTTTTGTTGGGATTTTTGCTTGTTACTGAAGAAAGGTTGCACTGTGTAGTCCAAGGTGGCCCTGAACCCATGAACCTCCTTCCCCAGCCTTCTCAGTGCCGAGGTTACAGGTGTGCAGCACCATGCTTGGTTTAGTGCTGACATTTTCTAACTTTATTTTTGTTAATTTATTTTGTGTGCCTGTGTATAGGCATGTGTGTTCCCGGGTACATGTGTGGCGGTCAGAAGACAACTTCCAAGAGCTGGTTTTCTCAGGATCTCACTTGGGTGGTCAGGCTTGACAGCAGGCACTTTCACATGCTCGGCATCCTGCTGCTCTATTTTCTAACTTTTTGAAACAAGCTTTGTATGATCTGAGAGATGACTCAGCAGGTAAAGGCACTTGTTGCCATGCCTTACAACCTGAGTCCAGTCCCCAGAACCCACATAGTAAAAGGGCGGAACCAACTCCCAGGAGTCATCCTCTGACCTCCATATGCATGCACTGTTGCGTGCACATGTCCACACATGAACATATACCTGCACAGTAAATCAATCAGTAAATTTTGTAATTAGAAAGAAAAGGAATAATCAATGCAGACATTTCTCTTTACAATACTGACATCCCAGAGGGCATTCCCGTTGTCTATTGCATTTCTCCATAAGCAGAAATGAAGACCGTTGAATTGCTGAAAAGAGATAAAGGCTTCTTGATACATCTTGGTGGTCTTTGTTCTTCAGTATCTGAGGTATGCCCAGGGTCTCTTTGGGGGGTTTCATTTTCAAAGTTATTAGTTATTATGATTTTTTTCTGCCTTTCACAAATTTTTTATTCTTTTAGGCTGATTTGTGGTCTCATTTCCAGAAATACCAAGTTTCTGAAGTTTCAATTTTTGACTCTCCTACCAATTACAGGTGTGTTTCCCACATTCACTCAGTGTGCAGCAGATGTCCTGTCCTAGACTTGAGTAGTCAGGGCCAGTCCCATAGCAGCCACATAAACAGAGAGGTGCACTAACTAATTGGAATTTTATCAGATCTTCCTGTCTGTACTTTTTTTTTCTGAGACTTGATTTTCCTGTGTAGTCCAGACTGTTAACGATTCTGCTTCAGACTTCTAAGTGTTGAGATGAGGGACATGCACCAGTACCCATGGTCCCTTTCTGTGTACTTTTTAATGTCTTTGTGGTATATAGGGAGTGGCTGGTTTTTGTATACTTTACCTATTTACATAAAATTTCAAAGAGGAAGCAGAGTGTATTAAGAGAAAGCATTCTAGAAATACATGACTGGTTCAATTCCCAACTCCTTCATTACCTTGATGAATGAATTTGAGGTAGCTGCTTGGCCTCTAGATGTCCTCTTTGTAAAGTGAGGGTAATAGTGCCTCCATGCGTTGTTGGGAAACCACTGTAACTGGATGTGCGAATCCCTAGGAGTAAAGCCACAGAAAGCCTGGCACAAAAACAGTGTCCTTCTTTATTATGTCTCATTTTAATTACTTTTTAAGTTTTTATATTTTTAGGTAGGTAGCTACCTCTCTCTCTGTCTCTCGCTCACACACACATGGTTTTAGCTTTATGTGTTGCTACTCAGACATTTACAGGTGATTCAAAAGTTTCAATGATGACGATTTTATGGAGATGCTTTTCTGGCTTTTTTTGAGGATGGTAGCTATTTCAGAGATGAAGACATCAATTAAAGATTTTGCTTGTGGTTGGAGATGAAATTTGCTCAACTACGTGTTTGTATTCATTGTAGTCCCTTTTTAGACCACGGGCTTGTACATGACCCACTGACATACTGACAGTGTATTTCTTTATGTTAAACTAGTGCTATAATCCCTAGGAGTATTATACGTCATATAATTTTCTTGATATCCTTTTGAATCCTTAAAAAAGTCTTCTTAAGTTTTTTTCTTCTTTAAAATATACATTCTGGGGCTGGACAGATGACTCAGTGGTTAAAAGCACTGGCTGCTTTTGCAGAGGACCTAGGTTTAATTCCCAGCACCCACATGTAACTCCAGTTCCAGGGGATCCAGTGCCCTCTTCTGACTGTCATGGGCATTGCAAACATATTAAATATTAAAAAGTAGACACATTCTGTATATAAATTTTGAAAATACAATTAAATGCAAAAAATAAAAGATTGTATAGTTATGTCTGTAGTCCCATCATTTGTGAGCAGTTGCTTAAGATGCAGTACACATGGTTCCATTCACACTCTACGTAGGGTGTTGGTTTAATGGCCAGCTTTCTCAACTTTATTATTAAAAATCTGATTAGATTTTCTACCTTTTTTTAATGCATTTTTTCACTACTGATTATATAAACACATTTTCATATATTCTGCTAAATGTTAAAAAAATTGCCTTTTACATTTAAGCCTTTGAGCCATCTAGAGTTTGTAATTGTATATAAAAATTAACCTTAATTTTTAGTATGTATAGCCACTTGCCCTTCGACCAAAAATCTGTGCGAGTCTGTCATGTATCAACTTTGCAATTTAAAATATTAGTTTTTGGCATACAATAATAATTCATAATTTTTTTGGTCTTTTTGAGACAAGGTCTTCCCGTAGCCCCAGATGGCCTGGAACTCACTATGTAGATCAGGCTGGCCTTGAACTCACAGAGATCCGCCTGCCTCTGCCTCCCGAGTGCTGGGACTAAAGGTATGTACCACCACGGCTGGCAATAATTCATAATTTGTACAAATTATCGTATTTCCCTTCTTTCATTTGTTTTGTGTTTAGTTAGCCTGAATAAATATTCCACTCACTTTAAGTAAATATAAGAACCTTTTCATTGTGAAGAGCAGATTTTCCTGTGAAAGTGTTTTCAGCCAGTAGTTATAAGTTCGCATTAAAGTCAGTAACAGAGATCCATCTGGTGTTCTGTTTTTATATGTTAGATACGCATCTCTTGCTTTTACAAACAACAATGATGCAAAGATGGCTGTGAAGGAAATGAATGGTATAGAAATAAATGGAAAATCTGTAACTGTGCGGCTTGTGAAAACTCCTGGAGAATACACAGCACGACTTTGCGCCAAAAGTGGAAACAAAGTTAGTCTGAATCATTTGGAGAAAAACACCAACAAAGAAGGTATCTCAGTCTCCTCTGTTCCTCGATTGCCCAAAACTAGACCAAGGCGGCTGGAATCTGAGCAAGACCGTGAATTTTCCTCTTTGGACCAGGAGGTGAGTTTTCTCAGCTCATCACGAGTGGTCTGGTATCTGCCATCTTTCTGCAGGGATGGCAGATCAGTCAAGATGCTTTTTGTTTGTGTTTGGCTTGGTTTTTTTTTTTTTTTCCCCCAGGGGTAGGGTTATTATCCTTTTGAGCTAGGGTTTCATTGTAGTCCTGGCTGTCCTGGAACTCACTATGTAGACCAGGTTGGCCTCTAATTCACAAAGATCCTCCTGCCTCTGCCCTCTGAATGCTGGGATTAAAGGCATGCACCTCCACACCCAGCTTTTAAGGTATTTTTTAAATCTTGGGTCCATCCTAACTTGCTTTTGTCCAGCTGCAGTTCATCTGAGGGAGAAATCTGACTGCTTCCAAATCTGGCCAGAGAGAAACTCATTCTTTTTGACTGGGTTCTTTGCCGTCCTTTGCAGGTTTTTTCTGTCTATTCTTCAACAGGACTATAAGTCATTATTATTTTATCATTACCTCCACCCTGCGGCAACCTTACCTCATACTTCCTTTTTATTTTTGTTATTTTATTTTTATATGTATGAGTGATGAGCCTGCATGTAACAAGTACATCCATGTCATACAATGCCCGCAGAGATCAGAAGAGAGTGCTGGAGTTAACAGCTATCAGGCGCCATGTGGGTGCTCAGAATCGAACCCAGGTCCTCTGCAAGAGCAATTAGTGCTCTTGACTGCTGAGCCTTCCGCCCAGCCCCAGCCTCATACTTCTTAAAACTATAAAATGTAGCTGTTTTGTTTTCATAACCCTCGTCTTTACCTCGTTGAGGTTTTAAATGACTCTTAGAATATGATAAAGTTTTGCTCATCAAAAATGCCTGGTATGTGGTAGGCATTTAACATTTTTTTTTTATGTATAGTAAGATTCATTCGTATTTTGGTGTTCACAGCCTTAGATATATGCATATAGGCAAGTATCAGCCACTAAAATCAAAGGGTTTCAGTAGTCCAAAAGAAATTCTCTTGCGCCAATGCTTACTGTACGAATGTATCCCAGTGTGCTCTATCCAGTCCTTCCCTGATTCTTTTTACAGCATTAGTGATGGCATTTTTTTTTATGCTTTTACAGTCTTATTAAAATTTTAAAGAAAAAAATCCTCAGGGCAGGTGAGCTGGTCATCTTGTCACTGCCTTAGGGAGGTGAATGGTAGGAAGAAAGAAAGGCCTGAGGCCACGAGCAGGGTTAGAGCCTGCGTGGGGGTCAGACACGTGGAAGCTTCAGAGAAAAAGTAAAGAAATGCGAGATAGTAGGGGCAGCCCAAAGCCTTAAAGAAAGCAAGTTTAGTAAGAAAAGCATGAAGAAGAAAAGGGAAATTGCACTTCCCTGGAGAATTCAGGAGAGCAGGCAACTCACAGACGACATGGCTGTAGCTACAAAGTTCTCATGATGGCCTTTCTTGTCAGACCTTTCTCTTTCTATCCACACACAGCCTTGGCAGGATTTTCATGTGCATTACTTGAACTTAGCCTTGTGTGCCCTGCTTTTACTGCCAGTCTTCGAAATGATGTAGTTTGTACTAAGTGTCTTGTTGGGTCACTTCTCTTTGTCCTAATAGTCTGACTTCATTCTCTTAAATTTTTTTTTTTTTTGGTCTTTATGAGACAGGGTCTCCCTACAGCCCCAGCTGGCCTGGAACTCACTATGTAGACCAGGCTAGCCTTGAACTCACAGAGATCTGCCTGCCTCTGCCTCCCAAGTGCTGGGACTACAGGAGTGCGCCACTACGCCCGGCTCATTCTCTAAATTTTTATTTAAACTGTTCTGTCCATTGTCACTGGCCACCTTTCTACGGGTCTTTCCACCATTTGCCGCCTTCTTGACCACCTGGCTTTTTTGGCATTGGGCATCATATCATTCCTTTTTAAAATTCTCCCTTCATTTCATGGACACCTTATGATTAGGGTGCATTTTAGGGGTACATAGTTTGAATTCAGGGTAGGAAAGAAGGAAACGGTATACTGGGAGCTGAGGTGGAGGTTTGGGAACTGTGGGGTGCACGGGAGTTTTGTCACTGAACCTCTGTGCCCTTTTCTCTAACACTGCTTCTCTCTTCATGCTGGTTTTCTCTGCTCACTACTTTGTTCCTCCACTTGCCTTTGTTTGGCTTAATTCTAACTGCAGTGTTTGCAAGCTGAAAACAATTCATTTGCTTCATGTTCCAATTCCATAGGCAGGGGATCTGTTGGACATAGTCTGTAATATTGGTGTTCGTTATTTTAGAAATAACACTCTTTGGTCCGATAAGCTGTGGTTGTGGGCCATGGGGTTAGTAGAGGGAAACTGTAAAGAACGCACGCTATGAGCCCTGGGTACAAGTACATGAAGAAACTTGTTACCGTGTGTGATGAACTGTATTCCAAGTTCCCACAACTTTCTAGATGTTTCCTGTACCTCTTTTTCTCATATCACATATTCATTCTATTCTTTCATTTAGGGTGTCAAGAAAAATTGTAAACAGATTGACTCTATTAGGTTATTACCTGAGATACCTGTTCAGCCCATACCTCCAAATACATTGAACCTTCGTAGCTTTACCAAGATCACGAAAAGGCTGGCTGAGCTGCACCCAGAAGTCAGCAGGTAATAAAATTGTTCCACCACTGACTTTAAGCTTTTGTGTGAAGATGTAATACTATCAAATCTAGCCATGTTCAAAACATGATCCTTTGGTAACGGAAATGCTTATGTGTGTTCTCCTTTTGTCTAGAGACCGCATTATAAATGCTCTTCAGGAAGTGAGAGTGAATCATAAAGGTTTTCTGAATGGCTTGTCTATTAGCGCTATTGTGGAAATGACTTCATCTTTTCTGAGAAACTCAGTTTCCCATTAGGGATAGATGAAGCAGTACAAAGGTAAACATAAAGATTGATTTTAAGTTAAAACAGTGTATTAGTCACTTTTCTGTTGCTGTGATAGAAACACTGACCAAAGCAATTTATAGAAGGAAGAGTTTATTTGAGCTTACGGTTCCAGGGGAATTACAGTCTGTCATGGCAGAGAGGCATGGTGGCAGAGGTGGCTGGAGCAGGAGCAGCAGAAGCTAAGCTCTCACATCATCACACAGGCACAGGAGGCAAGAGAGCAACTGGAGATCCAGCAAGGCTTAAGAACTCTCTTAAGCCCACCCCCAGTGACGTGCTTCCTCCAGGATAGCCACACCTTCTAAAACCTCCCAAAATAGCACCATCATTTGGGCACAAAATGTCCAAACACTTGGAGCCTGTGGGGGACATTTCCATTCAAACCACCACAAACAGTAATAACATAGTGAAACAATAATACTAAATTTAAAACCAAATATGCCATGTTAACTGCTAATGTAAAACCTGTGTGTTTGTTACTTTTCTTGTTGCTTTTCTGAAAGTCAGTATATGAGTTACTTTGCTCCTGTCTGACAGAAATGATCTACAGGAGGAAAGATCTGGTTTGGCTCATAGTTTCAGAGAATATAATCAATCTATCATGGTGTAGAAGATGTGGCAGGGGGGCCATGGTGGCAGGAGTGTATGACAGCACCTTGTATCATGGCCAGACCATGAAGTAGAGAGAGCTAAAGAGCAAACAGGTCCAGCCTATGACCTTCCAAGGCCTGCCTATCCCCAGTGGCCACTGAGGCAAACAACTTGGAGTTTGAGACACCCTTCTCAAAAGCATTGCTGCTGGGGACTGGGGTCTTGTTTAAACCCTCAGCAGTGGGGTTGGGATTCTAAAGGCCTGTACTCTAAGCACAAATATGAACCAGAAATAGGAAGAGTGTGGTATCATTTCAGTTCTCCAGTCATATAGTCCCATAATTTTGTACGTAATTGTTTTGTAAAAAAGAGTACACAGTAAAAATAACCAGTCACAAGGGGGAGAAGGTCATATGAATAAAAATTAGCTTAAGCATCAGATATCAAAACCACCCATAGGGACTCTAAAGTTATTGGATACACTTTTAAAAACCTGTTTGTATGTCATAGTTTGAAAAAATGGCCATAATGATTACTTTCTATCTATGCCCCTTTGACTGTGACTTTGAAGTTCCTCCCATCAAGAAGGAAAGTCTGCTAGCTGGGCATGCAGCGTACTCCTGTAGTCGCAAGACTCAGGCTCAGGTACAGGATAAGGAATCAAAGCCACCTTAGGCTACCCAAGGAGATCCTGTCTCAAAAAAAAATGGTAATAATAATAACTTTAAAAATAGTAACTATAAAGTGTAATTTCATAGAACTGGAGAGATGGGTCAGTGGTTACAAGCACTGGCTACTCTTGCCAAGGACTGGGGTTCAATTCTGAGCACCTACATGGCAGCTAACAATCATCCATAACTCCAGCTCCAAGGAAATCTGACGCCCTCTTCTGACCCTCTCCAGCATTGCATGACATGGGTATACTTACACACATGCAGGCAATACACTCATACATAAAAATAAAAATAAAATTTTTAAAATACAATTTCAAATAAAAATAACAAGATAATATTACTTTAGAAGTAGATTCATTCAGCCAGGCATGGTGGTGCACATCTTTAATCTCAACACTTGGGAGGCAGAAGCAGGCACATCTCTGAGTTTGAGGCCAACCTGGTCTACATAGTAAGTTTCAGGCCAGCTGGAGCTACAGGGAGACCCTGTCTCAAAAAAAGACCAAAAAAAGTAGATCCATTCTAAAGAAAATACTAAAGGGTGTTTTTCTTCTAGAAAGAAGATAAATAATTCTAAATGAAAGATTATAAATACAGACGAGAATAACCATGTATCTCAATGGCCGTATAAAACAGGAACAGTGGTATTCAATAGGACTAGCTACAATTAAATTGTAATACTCATATATAAATTGAGAGGTGATTAAGTATGCTATACTAAGCACCCTGCAGTTTCTAAAGAGAGTAAAATGTCTTATGTTTTGGCTCCACTCAACCCAGACTCAGTTATTCACTAGAAAGACTCACATGATTCAGTAGATAGTTGTCCTCCTGGCTGTGGTTTATTATGGGAAGAGAACACAGGACAGAGTCAGCAAAGGGAAAAGGCACGTGGGTGAAGCTGGTAAGAAATGAGGTGTGAACTCCTAGGGGCCGTCTTAGTGGAGTGCGCCTGGTCACACTAGGCATGCTTGATCCCTGCGGAATGAATTGGCACCTGTCTTCTAGGAAAGCTGCTTCATCACAGTCCCAGTGCACAAGCATTTTACTGGGGGCTGGTCATACACATATTCTACCCAGACACTCAGAAGAGAAGCAGCTGTTCAGTATAGCCATGTTGTTTGTGTAAGCATGGTGAGGTGGCCAATGTTTCTGGAAAAAGTAGGAACCCCAGACACTAGCCAAGGGCCTGTCTTGTAAGCAAATCTTTCTAGGGATAGCAATCTGAGTTCTACTGTGCTATTTGATATCAAACTTTGATAGCTAGAAAATGCATATTCTGATCATTGAGGCAACCTATAAAAACAACTTTTTTAAAGGCATACAAAAATGAAGTTGGACCTTGTGGGTCTCTCCCTCCCCTCGTGGGTCATTGGCCACCAATCCACGAGGACAAAGGGAGCAGAAGCGACGAACGGGTTCAGGACGGCTAGTGAGCATGACGGAAAAAGACCTTCTGGGGAGGCAGATTCAGTGATACAGCTCCATTTATTCAGTGGGGGTCAGGGAAAATATGGTGTGGAGGCAGAAGCCAAAGCTTCAGCTGATAGGTGCTCATAGTATGCTTTATTTACATGTGGTAGGGGAATCCTATCATCCAGCTATAGGGCAATGCCTAATTATCATATGGATAAAACCTGGGGGCAGTTTTATTGCAAGTAACTATGCCAAAGGTCATGTTCCAAATGAGGTCAGGTATCCATGCCTTCAGGCAGATAGCAGGAAGCCCCTGCTAAGAAAGGAGTTGACCTTAACAGCAGGGTTCCCCAACATCTCCCCCTGTTTTGTTTTATAATGGAGAAGTGTCATCACAAGCTTTAAGAGCCAACTCATCTATCTCAGGAGAATCCAAAGTTTGATAATTGACCATGACCTGCTTGGTAGTAATTTTAGCAATGGTAGTAATTTGTCGGCGAAGAAATTGTATGAAACAAGGAGCAAGCACCAAAATGACACACAGCATGATCAGGGTGCTAACAAAGGGTAGGAACCATGAAAACAAGGGGTTACTAAACCAACCTAAATGTTCGGCGGGTTGAAATCTTGAAAATAGATCGTTACAAAGTTTTTTGAGAGTATTAACATTGGTCACGACAACATTTGATTCATTACAAAAAAACAGCATTCCTCTCCCAATACTACACACGTCTCCCTGTGTTCAGCAGTTATTAAGTCTAGTGCTCTTCTGTTCTGGAGCACAACCCTGGCAAGAGAGTTCATTTGTCATTGGAGAGACTCGAGGCTGTCAGTCGTGGATGCCATTGACTGGTCCAGCTTGTCTCGAAAGTTCTCCTGCCAGGTGGTGGGTTTGTACAATAGCAGCAGTCGCAGTGCCTCCAGCACCCAGGGAGAAGGCGAGTCTGAGTCTCACTAGCAGGGGGATGAAGATTTCTCTCCACTGGCGGCTGTGAAGGAGTAGGGCAGCCTCTTTTTCCTTGAATAGTTACATCTGGGGCGTAATCATTACGGGTACACAAAAGGTGGACAAAGAGGAGTTAACACAGTGTTGGGCTTTTCCTTTGCACCATAGAAAAAGAGGAGGGGTGACACATACTGTCCTGGAGAGAGTAATGTTAGTGAGGTATTTGTAATGAGTAGGCTTACGCTTGCTGGAAATGCAAATTGGTTACTTAGCCAGTTGTTCAAATAAGGGAATATCCAACAGGTGAGAGTCAGTGAAATCTTTTTTTGTTTCTGGGTAAAGAAGGGTGGTATTAACTGGTACTGCTGTCAGTAAAGGTCTATTGCGGGGTGCACAAAAGAAACAGAGGCATTAGGGTGGGTGGTGAAGGGAAGAAAGTTAGCAACATGTTGAATGTACTTGCTCCAGGACATAGTTGATCTTATCTGGTCCTCTGTTTTTCCTGTAGAATAATATTATGATGAGTTAGCACAGACTTAGCTGCAGGTACAAGCTGTTGAGAGATATGAAAGTCAGCTGTAGGGTAGCTGGAGAATGCACCTGGGTAGAACTTTCCCATTACTCCGATACGCCAGCGATCGTCCCATGGATCTGCAACATATATTAGGGAACAGTCATGGTTCCCATAGAGATACTTATTATCCTTTAGGTAGATGGGTCTTTCCTGTCCTGTTATACCCTGATATCCCCTAGTTAATCCTAGTTCCAACCTACAGGGATTGAAATAGCAGCTGCCCCCATAGGTATCCACTTCCTTGAGGCATGATGGATCTGTCGGAAAGGGAAGCAAACATATCCATTAGTTTTGTATCTGCTAGCATTTGGGTATATTATGATTTCTGTGGGTTTTTGACAGCCCACCAGGGGGCAGTCTGCGGTTCCAATTATCTGATTTTTTTCCTTGAAATGTTTCCCTGAGATAAAATCTCCAGAACATAGTATTGAGGGGTGTGGGGCTGGCTGAAGCATTGGTGTTAAGCCAGGATGACAGAGAAAGAACCTCAGGGAGGGCATCCGTGGCGAGCAGTCTCCACCAGATCATGGATCTCTTTTCATGTGATCTGGTGTGGTTTCAGGTGTCGTTTCCTCTTCTTCCTTTTCTTTGTCTCTGACAGGGTCATGCGAGCCATCTTTTTTGTGGGTGGGGAGGTGCCGGACATTTCTGGCTGGAACCCAGATAGGCTTTGGTTGATCCTGTGGAAAAACACAATCAAATCCCCTCCCTGTGGTCAGCAATGGATCTGGTCCTTTCCAGATTCCATCAAGGGAGTCCCTCCATGTA